GTAAGTAAAACATACAGTAAGCACTCAAGATCCTTGATAATAACTGCACTGATTTCAGGAACAAATCAACAAAGTGCAGTGTTTCAATTGACAAAAGGGCATCTTCCAGTATTGGAGAATGTTTGCACACACAGTGTGCTTGATGATCAGTGTAATGTTTGAACTCCTATGTGATACCAAGAGGTTCAAAACTCCATGGTGATACCATTTTTGTCTGGTTAGTGTTTCTTCTGCAGTAGCTCAAAGTCAAACCATTATACAAACTATTGTAACCAATACTTGTGAATAAGAGTATCCCTAAAACCCCTCATACTGAAGGACTTTTGTATACGTCTAGACCTTTATTGTACAGTTGCCACCTTTGTTTTACAGTCTTGACAAAAAAATTCTATATCAGAGCAGTTTGTTTCTTTGTTTAAAAGCTTTGTCTTCTCTCCCAATAGAGTTGAGTACACATGTGTCGTACATGTGAATGGCCATTCCAAACCATTCAAAAGTCAACTTCTCCTAGTACCACTGACCAGAACCTTTGCTCTATAATGTCTATTGTTGGATTTGTACTGGGTATACAAAGTACATAGCACCCCTCGCCCCTGCCTCTTGAGTTTAGGATACTGAAAACCACATGTAATACTGAGAAACTTACAGATGAGCAGTTGTCATGGTCTTGGCATTCCTGGACCTTGTTACATCACTAGCTTTTGTGACAAGAGACTCAACGAAGATCTCCAAGCAGCGAGCTTTCAGATATGGTCAAGGAGCTACCAACAAAAGCATGCAACAATATTGCCTACAGCACAGTAGTAGACACTCTTCTCCTCCCATGGTCACAAAGTGACTATCGCCTTTTTTTGCCAAACACCCAATAACACTGGGGTGTTTGATATGGGTTTTGTGCGCGTGAAAAATTTGCGCGTGCGTGTGAAGAATGGCTGAATAGCTCAATCTACATCAATACACATTTGTTGGGCTTGCATACCCATGCAAATTGGTCGGACACTTCTATAGTTAATACATCTACCAACAATACACATGTAAGGTTAACATCATCTGAATAGTAGAGAAACAACATGTAGGCATTTTTCAACAAGGATACAGATAATGACAGGAACTGCAGCAGCAACTTTTCCCACATCCTCATCAGTCTGCATGATCTTCTTTATTCTGGCCTACAGTGGAAAGAAAACAAACCAGTCTTTCTGTTTATATTATAATATTTTATTGTTATCATTTTTTTGCATCATCTTCATAATTATAGTAATAATCAGTTAGTTGACCAAGTAGTCATTACAAATACAATTAGGGGGTTTCTGGTAATAGCCTTCTGTTATGTAATGAATACAACATTTATCATTAAGTTCTGTTACGAGTTACAGCACGCTAAAATGTAGAGACAGTCCTGTCCAAAATATATTTTCGAGTTCATAACATGATACTGATATAAAAACATACAAATTTCCGCTTAAACTATGGCAGTTGAATTTTCTTTTAACTTCTCAAAAGCGTGCGACTCTGACGTATGGCGTTAACATTTCCTCGTGGTCATGTTGAATGCGTGGGTTGAACCATGAAGTACTCGTTGGAAATTGAAAATTTCTAGGAAGAAGAAACGCCCCCCTCCCCACACTGCACAGAAGCAAAATGCACTGATTTTCACTTCTACGACAAATGCCCGACAAAGCACGATCTACAGAAAGAAGAAAGTGACATTGCTTGACTAAAATGCATTGGTCGGTACTTACGGGAGGAAACCGCGCGTTGTATTTCTTCTTTTTCGAAGGCATTTTTATCTGCTTGGCCGAGTTTTCCCCGGAAACATGGACGAAATGTTAGTGCGCATGTCCGGTAACCTTTAACCTTCAGCCAGGTGAACACAAACACATGCTGGTTTTCCAGGTTTTGTTCCGAAATCTGAAAATTTAGCGGTCTGGAGAACGTCGTAAGTTATGGACAAAGCAAGAGAAAGAAATAAGGAGCTGAAGGACCAGCTGGAAATGGTAGGGGTGTTTATAGTTGTTTAGATAAAGATTTGACAAGCTCAGAAGATGTTAGATTAATTTCATCATAGAGGCAGTAGCGGTAGCCTCCTTGGATTAATAGATAGATTTAACATAACAAATCATAACATATCATATCATATATAAAAGGGCAATAATTTGCCTATGTTATATTTACATTTTATTATAATATTGAGAATATTCTTTGACATTTTGATTGTTTAAGTGATACATTGAAACCATTATTGCCAGTAATTTTTCTGTCCTTCTTGCTGATTTCAGTCTCCTAGTCAAAATCAGACTTTATTTGACTGTTTGAAAATTTCCCCCACCCCAGCTGCAGAAGGTGTGTAAGTTTTGCCAGCAGAAGAAAACAGCCCTCTTGCAGCATAAGGCAGTACTGCAGCAGTCTGCTGACCCACAGGGACCACTTCAGCCTGACTTACCACAAGCCACACAGGAATTGTGAGAATCATATATAAAGATTATAAGAATTACTGTATCTGTTACAGTTTTCTGTTGCCTTTCTGTAGCAGCCCTCGAGAACTATGAGTGGAGTAGGGGGAAGAGTTGAGGAAGGGTATTAAAGGGTGGGGTAGGGGGAAGAGTTGGGGAATGGTATTAAACTTTAAAGAGTGGGGTAGGGGGTAGCCGCGGCGACTGTTGCAGGGCTTCTCTTGCCTGCAGTCTTTGTCAGGGCTAATGTAAAAGACTGCAAGCAAGAGAAGCCCTGCAACAGTCGCCGCGGCTAGTTGAGGGAGGGTACGAGTGACATATTCCTGTACATTGATATTTCCGCATTAACAGGTATGGTCCAGTGTTGGAAAGTGTTGGTCAGTCCAGTCTACAGGAGTTAAAAGTCCTTGAACTGAAGGAACAACTTCAACTGGTCAAGATGAGAGAGGAGAGGGACAAGATCAAGCACACATTGTCACAAGGTGTGTTCATTTGCGGGACTCCATTGATTTAAGTTTTATTAGACATTGGGGCAACGGTAGAATAGGGAGAACAATACATGTATATGCTTATTTCAAGAAAGTGATTTATTTGACGACTAAGATTGCCACTAATTGCTGCAGTGTCTTTGAGAACATTGCTACATTTGTTTTTTTTTCTCTCATTTTCAGGTTGTTTTTATAAGTTAAAATTTCCTGTCCAAAAGGTGAAATAGCTATCATAACCATTGCAGTCTTTCAGTGTAATGATGTTACTGGTATGTATACAGACTATGAGTATGAAACAATATTTTCTTACACTAGGTTTGCTGCGCCATATTTTCAGCAGAAAAGTAAATCAGATCACTTTCTTGACATATGTTATTCACACAGTCAGAGAATACAGGTCTGATGTAGAGGACACAGCCCTTCCAGCCCTTGATAGATGGTACAGAGAGATGGAGACAATAGAAGAGGAAACATTGCAGATGTCATCAGGAAGTAACATAAAAGGTGAATGTAGCCAACTGTAGCTCTTGTTGACCTCTGTTTTGTATTAAATTGTTTGATGGGAAGAATAATGCTCTTGTGACACACCATACCGAAAATTTACTTGGCAAGTATTTCAGTAATTTCCCAACTACCTACTAAATGGACTGCACTACTCCTTACTGCTGCATGGTGGCACTGTGGCACAGTTGCTGTCCCAAACATCAGCAGAAACAGGGGGATGTACATTTTGTATACTCATGCTTTGGACCACAACACTACCATGCAGCAAGGAGTAATAGATCCTTATCAGGAAGGTAACTACTAAGGGATTATATGTAGCATGTATATGTAGTTACTAGAATATCAGGCAGGTAAATTTCCACCATGTAATACTGTGCATCTCAAAGGTATCAGTCTGGCTCTGGACAAGCTGTTCTTCCATGTCAGGTTGACAGGAGGAACGGGGGAGGGCCGACAGCTTTCATTTTCTACCAGACATGGAGGGATCTGTATTCACATCTGTATCAAAGAACCATCTCTACACACACAGAGGTTTGTAGTGAATGACTTTAATTTTCAAATTGGCTTCAAGGTGTACAACACATGGCAAGTGATTATATTATAATACAATACAAGGTATCACCAGGCATTCAAATCTAATTGCAGTTTTCTGGTGGTCAATCTAATTGTGGCTAGATGTTTTGTGTCATGTTGTTCAGGTGGCTTTTTCTTAATGTGTAATTCTACTCCATTTCACACTTTTGTTGAAATGATGGCTCTCCATGCAGAGTTTTCATGGTTTCAAAAAGAAAGAATTCTTCTACTCTTAAGTCAATTGTTTGTAAGCCATTTTTGTCTACAATTGCATTTTATGCCATAAGTTTACTTATGTGACATAGACATTGCTTTACTATGTACATTTTGAATGTAATCAAGCATTATATGTTTCATTTTCTTCTTCAATAAATTTTCATGAAAATCTGAACATAGAATCTAAAAATACTAGCAGTGTTACAAATTAAAATGATGTTATACATCCCAGAAGATGATGACTAACAATGTTTGTACATTTACAGATCTGGTGACGTGTCATCAGATATCATGTACCTGGTACAGTCAGATCTGTATGTTGCTGATTTACCTGCAGAAGGGAACAGATACCTGAAGAACAACCTGTCTGCTTCAGACTTTGTGAAAAACGTTGTGTGGAAACACATCGATGAGGACTGTTTAGCCTTGTCATGACACAGTGGTCAATAAACACAAAATAAGATTCACAGTCAAAGTGTATCAACTAGTTATGTGTGCTACTGAACTTACCCTGAAGTTACACTTTACTTGCACATAACTGCAATTTTTCAGTCTTTCAAAGAGGACAGTTGCTTAATTGAGTATAATATGGAGTGTTCGTTAACACTTCATTTTTGAGGATAAAAACATGCTTTTAGCAAAACAATGAATTGTACCCTGTAATAATGAGACTGATACAATCCTGAGTGACTGACAGCAGAAAGATAAGATTAACCTCCTTGTACAGACCAAACCTAATGGTTGTCTCACATTTATAACCTTACCACAGGAAACATGTTAAAGATACCTTGTATAAGTAAAATACTTCATACTTCCATTCGGAACATGCTAGACTACTACATACATTTTATTTGAACCATTCTATATTCATAAGAATATCACATCGACCTGCAGGCTGCTTTTGATTGTCATGAGGGAAGAGGTAAGGGTCAGACATACATTTCATATTCATGCATGTAGCAGCAGTGGCTGAGAATGCAACCTCTTACATTAGCAGCACCTGAGTGTAACAGGATATGTAATGAGGCAGTGAGGCATGGGTGAGGCAGTGTTTCCTAATTCGAACTAATGTCACTTGGTTTCCCATCCAGTTACATAATACAGGGAACAATAACATGTACAAGAGGAGGCTAATTCTTGATCACCCTCCTTGATCTACATGATAGTGTATATATTTAGAGTGACTGAGGATTGTCATTCATAAGGCAAGGTATGGAAAAATGTTGGCAGCATTAAAACACTTTTGACATCCAGTGTGAACCTACATTCACAAGTAAGGAACAATTATGATGACAATTGGCTCGTCATATTCAAATGTTACATGTTCACAAATCTTCCTTCTTATACACTTTCCAAGCTTGAAAGCATATCTGGAAGTAGATGTGTGCAAGCTTTTCCTGAACTGCACTTTTTTTGTCAGGCCAATGATCATCAGACAACTTCAAGAGGTGTCTTGCACACACCAATGCTCGTGGCAGCTGTTTCTTAGCCGTGTAAACCTGTATCAGACCTTTCAGAGCTGCCTCCATACATGGATGGTATGTCTTCTTCTTCAGCTCAACCCTGTAGCCCTTCTTAAACATCTCTCCTGCCTTTTCCAAGAGTTCTGGTTTCCCGTCATCCATCATGAACTGCCCGGCTGTGATGTAGTACGCGGACAGCCTCTGTGGAGGGTTCAGGTTCCCGGCGCGTATCTCATCCTCCGCAAGTTTCAGCATCCTGTCGCACTCCTCTTGTCCCTTTTTGATGAATCCGTTCTTCTTCTCTTCTGCATTCATGAACATTGCTCTGTAGCACTTGACCAGCTTCTCATGACAGCGTAACTTGGTGTGTACATCTGGACCGACGCGTTTCAGCAGCCCAAATTCGTAGTACTCGGTTCTGTCACCAAGCATGGTCTTGTAGAAACCCTCTGCCCTCTGAAGGTCTGGCATGACTTGTTCCTTGGCTTTACCCTCTACCTCAAGTAGCAGCTTGTTCAGACCTTCAGCCTTTGAGAGAAAGGTGTGCAGAAGACTGCAGCCTGTTGCATTGGTGACTTCCTCACACAGGTAGTAAGCAACCTGCATGTCTCGGATGAAAGGAGCCCTTCTGTCAGAACCTGGAGGGTACTGGTCACTAAGGTAGAAGATGGTTCTACCAAGGGTGTAGATGGTAGAGATGTACAATTCTGGGAGGAAAACTTCCCTCAGTGTCTCCACAGGCATGGCTAGCTTGTTGTCAGCTAACTTTTGGTACATCTGTGGTGTCAGGGAATCATAAGTCTTCACCACAGACTCCATGTCTGTTCTGTCCTTGGGAGTAAGCTTGTCCTGTATGGCTCTGAACTGCTGTTCAGTGACTATCATGCCTATCACTGTGTCTTGGAGGAAGTGGTCTTTCAAGGAACAACTTTTAGCAGACAGCACCTTGTACAGCTCTCTGGCCTCTGCTCTTGGGGACTCCTCCAGATCCCTGTCTCTGTTGTCTTCTTGTTTGTCTTCCAAAACCTTTTCTTGAAGAGCCTGAGGGTTGACACTGGCGAACTGTAGCAGCAGTTTCTTTGCATCTTGCAGGGGCTTTTCAGACAAGACTCGAGTTTCCTTCTGGGTATGCAGGAAACCATACACACCCAGCAACATGGATTTCATTAACGGATACTCAGGACCCATGGCCATCCCGTCAGCGTGCTCCAGCACTCTTTCCACATGTGGCATTAGTGACATGCTGAAGTTATGGGCCACAAAGTACCTGTTATCCTTGGAGAAGAACTTGACTAAGATTTCAAGCAACATGTTGATGCAGCTTATCTTCTGTTGCTCATCCATCCTCAGACCTATAGCTGTCTGTGTGACTCCATGGATGGACAGGCGGCGGTTGACCCCCACACCCTTGATCCAGCCAAGTGACCGCTCCTTCAGCTGTCCGGCAAACTCAAGATGGTAGGCTAGCCTGGATGCTGGTGACGCAGCTTTCAACGCGTCTCTCAGGATCAGGAAGGGGATGTCACGGGGCTTTAAAAAGGCACAGAGTTGTAACATAGACTTGTACTGGTCGTCCAGCTTGTCTATGGCTACCTCCAGGGCTGCAAAGATGGTTCTTCCAGCATCTTGATGCTCGGCCTTGTGATAGTGAGCCTGAAGCCACTGGTCTTCTCTCTCCCTTGTTTGTGCCATGGCCTCCTTACCACTATTCAGCAGCTGGATGTACTCAGGGAAAGTCATGCTGCATTGCTGTATGGTGGCTCTAGCTGCTGCTAAGCCAAGTGGCAGGCAGCTGAAAGATCTGGCCAACTCTTCAATCCCATCTCTTGGAATATCACTGGACAATCCATTGGACAAGAATTCTACGGCTTCCCCCTCTGTGAATCCTTCCATCACGATACTGTTTGCTGTTGGGAGGTTGAAGGCAGAGTTCTGTGTCGTCACGATGAGCTTAGCTGAAGAGTTCAAGATGTCGTTGGGAATGGCCACCGTTGCTGAGAGGTCGTCTACAACAAGTACAACATGGCTCCTCTGGTTAACCAGGCTGGAGATGTGATTGTTCCCATCTTCTGATCCCCCACTCAGCCTTTGCTGTAAGGTTTGAACCTCTTCGTTGAGCTTGTCCCTGGAACTACCATCCATGACCCACACTACAGCACCAGGGTTGAATCTGGCATAATCACTTGCGACTTTGTATGCCAACTGTGTTTTACCCGACCCAGAAATGCCGTAAATCACTGCCCCTCTACTTGTTTCTAAGCTCTTGTATACCTCCTTGATTTTCTTGGTTGTGAAAAAGTGATCCACAACCCCACCTAGATTGGAGATACCCCTAATACTTGCTGAATACTTCACCCTAGGATCTAATGCTTTTGCAAGATCATCAAGCCCCTCTTCCTCTAGAACCTCCACAAATAACAAATACTTAGTAGGATCTTTACTTGCTAAAACTCCAACAACTTCCTCTATGGTTTCCTTAACAGACACTTCGTTAGAAGTTTGTACCTCTCCGGCAAACAGGACTTGTTTTAGAGACATTGCCTCAAGAAGTTTGGATAAGGACTGGTGGTCTTTAACCTCTTCAACAAAGGTGCTGATGTTGTTCTTGAGAAGGTCTTCATGTACCATCTTCATCTCTGTCTCGTGATCTGGAACAGACAGTTAAGATGTAAAATTGATATAAGTTCTAACGCTTATTAGTACTCACAATCACATTTCGAGAAACAACAGTATCTTCCCATATCACACAATACTTTTACCAGTACTACTTTCCTAATCTTGAGTTGCAATTTGATCCTTACCTAGCTCTCTTGTTTCCACTCTCTGGTCTATGCCTCTCACTCCTTCAAAGGTTCCTTCAATGGTAAGACAAACTCCTTTCTTCCCGTCTGGACACTTGTCAATCCTGAAGGTTCCCTTCTTGCCACACTGCTGGAAGATGTCCACAACATCCCCCGGTGCTGTCTTCGTCTTCCCGCTGTCCTTCATCATCTTGATTGACACAGTGCCTTGAAGGAAGATGTCGAGAGTGAATGTCATCCTGTACACTCTCTCTCTGGTGACCATCGAGGCCAGTACCTTTGAGTGAGGTGGTAGAGTCAGCTTCCTCTTGTGAGCATAACTCTCGTCTGTCTCCCTCGCTTCTGCCTTTGTCTTGGAGAGGTTGAACTGTACCCCAGCCTTGGCGGTCAGTCCTGTGATGGCAGGCAAGCCTACCTGCACTGACACGTCAGAGGATAGCCGGAAACCTTTTGTCTGAGACCACTGGCAGGAGTACTTTGTGGTGTTTTCCACAGATAGTTCATCTTCTGAGGGAACATCCAAGTCATTAACGAGGATCTTTTTGATGGTACTGACCCTGTCGTCTTCTTTCCTGTCTTCCTCATGGTACGTCTCCTTGCCCTTAATGATTGACAGGTCTGTAGTGTCTACTGAGACCAGTTTGTGGTACCTCTGGCCGAGTTTTTCTTGTGCCCACGTGGTGAAGATTGTGTCTAGGTCTGTAATGTCAGTCATGTTGCAGCACCTGTACATCAAAGATAAGTAAAGACAGTTTCAATCTAGTGCAGAGCAAAACTTTTTCCAAGTCCAACACATAAAAAATCTAATTTTAAATTGTCATACATGTAGGTGTTTTGTGAACAAGGAGGTAACATTAAAACCTCTTTGTTGCACACGCACAAGCTTGTTTGTTGCCCTGGCAACATACTTTCAGTTTCGGTCTAAACGTTGCTATGTCCGTCGTCAACAACAATGTCTACCGTTTAGATATCAAAACTAAAGTACACACACCACAATTTGTAGATTTATTTGCACATGCTACCAGTGAAAATAAACATCAGATTCAGTACACAACAACAACTCTGAGCAACAGTTATTAAAGCATGGACTGTACCGTCAAATGAGGTTCAACCGAATTCCTTGTTGGAACAGGCCATGCATGGGGCGCCCGGGCGTGGTTAAAAATAATTTAGATGAACGGATGTGACAACAATATTTGTCTGTCACTGTCAGATCGTACCAATAGTAGACAGCTGTTGAGGACCTTGTCAAATAATTGATACCTTTCTGAAAGGTGACAACGCCCGTGATATTTCTTCGGGCTTCCTGGACAAGGATTATCGTGATGACGTCTGGTCTTGCGTCATCAGTGATCAGAACCAAAAGAAATACGTGACGTAACCAGACAACCCCCTCAAAATACAACAAAGGAATGCCGAGAACACCGAGTGAGTACTTTACCTTGTAACATTATAATCTCGCGTGTTGGATGGCCCTTAACCATGTAGACACCTGTCATGTCTCTTTCCACACGTCAAGATCTGAATCCCACCTGGCACGGCCACGCCATGTTTTCATCCACTTCCGGGGTTTGGGGATCCCGGCTACTTCCGGTTGTTAGCGTAGTCTATTAGATTACAGGGGTAAGTTTTTCACATTGTCGACTTTTTGTTGTAAAAAGCCGTTGTATCAATTAAATTACAACGTGCAATATTTAATATCAAGAAATGGAAGGTAAAGTGGTTGTTTGATGGGGATGTGATAGAGATAGCCGCAAGCTTTTAGTTCAAACATCCCCGTATTATTAATGGACTGATCCGCTTTTATCTCAATGCACAGGCTGTAGACGACTCACTGTCGGACCTCTTTTCGTTGTGTCGTTTTCAACCACTACTATTATCGTATTTTGAGCAGTCTAGGAACACGAACTATGACAGATACTCCAGCAAAAGGCACAGTTCTAAACGGACACCATGCGGTGAGTGTATGTCCTTCTTGTCGCGTGAAAATTTATGTGTTTCTGAACCTCTTTGTTGACATGATTATGAAACAGGATTCATGCACACGTACACGTGGCGGTTTCGATAGTTTCGAAGTCGATCACTTGACGCCATCTTGTCTTTTGTGTGTATTTATGTTCTATGATGGTCGAGAATAATGCAAAATCTATTCTGGATTCCCCCCCCCCCACCGTTGCACGTAACGGTACAGTTAATAGTACTCTTCAAGCAGATGTGAGGATCCGGCTCAGTCTGATTTTACGTACGCTCGCTTTTGCAACTTCTAGTTTAGTCACCTCTATCTTGAAGTACACCTTTCTGAATGTTACAAGGTAGTTGCACTACTAGGCAGGCGTCGCTAAAACACCAAGAGTAAGATACTGAACCCGATCCTTTCATCTGCTTGAAGGAACGTTACATGTAACGAGTACATGCAACGTTACATGTATCACGAGTTCTGAATAATTGATAAGAAAGATTAGAACAAAGAACACTCCAGCTTCCATTCCATATCTGTTGGAAAATAGAAAATTAAGGTTGCAGACTCATAACAAAAAGGTATATACAGAAAATGTATTAAGAACAACAAGATATGGCCATTGGTTTGAAAATTTTAAAGTAAGCACAGTGATACAATTGAGCATGGAGGTAGAAACTACCACCATCAATTGAGATGTAGTTTGAAAAAAAAAAAGCAAGCAACTAATATTCATGCTCTATTGTGACTCTTTCGTTTCTTAATTTAGGAAATCCACCGCTACACCTACACCCCTGAAGACCTGGTCATCCAGTCTTCTCCATGGGAGAAGTTCAGTCGTAGTAAGGTAAAATTTAATAAGGTAATACTAGGCTCATTTCACCGACTTTTGGTGATGCGGTATAAGGTATGAAAAGGAATAAGGTACACGTATACGGTGATAAGTTACAGAATACTACCATTTATCATCTATTTATTATTACTAGTATCATGAATACAACACTTTTACTTAAGCACAGTTGAAGTTGTGGTCACCAAATGTAATTGGTTAAATCATTGATTCACTGCATGTAAGTTATGAACAACAATATTGATATTATGGTCTATTGTTCAATTGATCATATTTGAAGTTTGTCTCACACTGTTGTTCTTAGTTTGATGAGGAGTTGTGCAGAAGGTGGGATGAAGCCATGGAGGCAGGGATGTTCCGGTATAAACTGGACTCTCTACAGACCAAGATTCTGCCTGGACCCTTGAGATTCGTCGCACAGGTAAACAGAATTCTGGGTAGAACCTTTGAAGACAACCATGTACAATATGCTAGATTGTGCAGGTCTCTCTATCAGTAGACAAGTGGGTAAAAACATTTTTTTAGGCAGCATGATTGACTTATTCTAAACAGTATAAGTAGTACATTGTATGTATTTATTGAGTGGAGAGTCTGGAGACTTTTTTGTTTTTTCAGTTGAATGTGAAGAGAGCCCAGGAAAGAAGAGCTCCACAGAACATTATAGGAATGAACCATCCCTTTGACCCAAAGAAGTTCAACTTCACCAAAATCAAGCCTGGAGAGGTAGGTGCATCTTTTATTTGTACAGTCAGGACATTGCTATACAGATAATGTCCTTGGTACAGTATATGTTTTTGTTTTCCAAACAGAATTTTTTGTCACTCTGATGTCCTCCTGTTGTTCTCTCCTAGGTTGTGTTTGAGCTTTGCCCACAAAGGGACTCATCTCCTCAGGAGAATGGAACAATGGATACACATGATAGAACAACATCAGATGAAACACCTGCAAGCAAAAGGGTATATAGATATTAATGATACTTTTCAAATCACTCTAATCTCATGTTTGCCCTACGTTTGTTTGAATTGAAAGAAAACACATTCACATGGGTTTCAAGAAGCAGCTTGATCATCTCTGAAATTGCATACAACACAAAATTAGAACATTAAACATTATTTTTTTCTCCTAGGTCAAGAAGTCTGCCCACATGGTTATCATCAATGTGAGCCCTCTGGAGTATGGGAATATACTGATGGTGCCTTCATTACAAGACTGTCTACCCCAGGTCAGAGGGTTTGTGTGTGTGGCCAATCACAGCTTAACAATGTTAAATACATTAGACAAGATCTTGTTTGTTAGTTCTGTTTATTCCCTAGTATAGCTTGATTTTTGTGTACAAATAAGCAAAGCATCAAATATCTACATTTCTGAAGCTTTAAGTGTAAATTAGTAATATTTGTGGTCTGATTTTATTACTCCACAAAACCACATTACATGTAGGTGTTGACAGAAGAGGCACTTCTACTGGCAATGGAGATGACACTTCTCAGTAAGCACCAGTAAGTGATTGTTGTATTCATCTAGAGTCTTTAGTTTAACTGTGCAGAATATATTTCTTCGTGACAGAACTTCTATGATTCAATACTGCTGCAAGACTAATCTACTTGTATATGTATCTAGCTGTAAGTTGCATGATCTTGTTTTTTCTATACACAATGCTCCAATGTCAACCCATGTTCTTTGATTCTTTTAAGATACCTCATTTAGATTTACTGTATACCTGCTCATATCCATTTTGATATTCTAAACCTTTTGCATAGAACTGGAGTGGGCTTAGGAGCTATGTATAATTTTATAAACTTGTTTGTCGAACCCATTTTTTCTGCAGGGGTTTCAGGATGGGGTTCAACAGTTTGTGTGCCTACTCATCTGTCAATCATCTACATTTCCATGGTTACTACCTGGAACATGAGCTGGGGACAGAGAGCTGTGTGAGTGATCTTGATATTTTCCTCAAAGTACAAGACATTAACTTTTAGTTCAGAATGTCTTCCTTGCAGGTATTGTATTACAAAGGAATGAGTAATTTTTATATTTCATCATTGTGGTAATCTATTCCAACAACTAACATCTTTCTGTAACATGATAATGTTTTACCCCACATGTACAGGTGACAGTTCCATTCCACTCTGATATCCATGTTCTCAATGATGACTACCCAGCACTGGGGTTCGCATTCCAACTGAAGGGAAAGGATGTTACAGGACTGGCAAGGTGTGATTTTATGTTGCCTTTATCTGAAATGTAGCACACTATAGCAAATATAGCTGTTGACTGCTCTTTGTCTGTTTGTTCTTTATGTCAGGGGATATTGATACCTTTTATACTATAAATGCATGTATTCAATACATTGATATTGTTTTGTGTGTAAAAATCCACTATAAACAATGTAATACATATATTTCTGGTTGTTACATGCACATGTATTAATTAACTGATCTACATTGCACAATGTTGTTATTGTGACAGCTATTAAAATAGGTTACTGATTGGAATGTTTACTATTTTTGAAAACCTCTTGGATATGTTTTGTAGCCTGGCAAACCACAGGTCATATCTATCTAGTATCCATCAAAACCTTGGCATAGAACACCAACTGGGTTTGACACTGAATTCAGCAAGAGGTTCCTTTAGTTAGTATAATGTTATTAAAAATTTGTGTAATTTTCCCTGCCCTCAGACAAGTGTACCAGGTTGCTGACTACCTCCAAAGGCATGAGATAGCCCACAATGTGTTCATGACCAGGGGAACACAGTTTGGGGAGGATGCCAACAGTCCCAACAGAACCCTCAGGGTGTACCTGTGGCCCAGGCAGCCTGTAACAGGTTAGGGTCTATTACATAATCATGTCATGCCTACATCAGGCCTCCAAATTAACTTTTCTTCCTATTATCCCAGCACTGTCCCAAAAGTAAATTTCGATTGAGGATGAACTGTCCCAACTGTTTTTTGGGAAGTATTGTATGACTTCAACTTCAAGTCAACTTTATTTTTGCTTCTGAATCCCAGTTGCACTATAATTGCAGTGTAGACAGGAAATTCTGGAGGACTTTTCCGGATCCAAAACCAGGACATGTGCCTGATAAACTAAAGAAGGGCTGACATTCGGATGTGGATTATTTTTCTTTTGTCCCAAAAATCTCCCAAAGTGTCTTTTTACTTTTTTAGTTGTCCCAGCCTAAATCTTAGTGGTCAGTGGCCATTGGACCACCTTTAATTTTGAGCCCTGCACATACCATGTTTACATTGATAACATGTTGTAAACAAGCATACAAGGAGACAATAACATTGTGGAGATGCCTGCACTCCTGTTGTGTCAACACATTCCATTGATTAGTCATGTTATCAAACATTGCAATACCGGTAGGATAGCATGCAAAAACCACTGCAGCAAGAGCCGAGTGGTGTTGAGTGCTTGCTTTGAATGGGGTGTGACACAGCTTTGATTCTCCATATCAAAGTCAATGATTTCAAACCACAATCAAAGTTCACATACTAGTAGTGGTGTTTGCTTAGGAATTGCTCTTCTCTACTAGGTGCCAAGAATGACTTTGTCTTCAACCCTGCACTGTGTGAACTGGCTGGACATCTCCCTATTAAAGGTACGTGGAGGCTGCAAATTTTTAAAAAATTTAAGAAAAGTTTCTTGATGTTTTGTGCAGTAATGTATAAGCAGTCTAGCAGTATTTCTTAATGTCACCTTTAATGACATTATACTGCCATGTAAAGTTTTATTTTCTTTAGAAAATTAACTTTGCAACTTTGTAACGGTTTCATGACATGTTATTGCATTGGAATGACCATCATTTAGTCAGCTGCTGATCCACTGTTCTGATAACAACTAGGTGATTCTATGTAAGTGAAAGATTGTGAATGTCTTTATTCTTTTCTTCATTAAGATCTTTATCGTTTGTGTAGTTGAGGATGGATACAGGACAGTCACAGAGGAACTGGCTGTCAATACACTCAGGACACAGTCTTTACAAAGAGAGGAGTTTGATGCCTTGAAAACAGAGTTAGCAGCAATGCTGGGATGAGAAGAATTGTGGAACAGATTGTCATTGACAATCAGCCTTATACGTGTTTTGTGGACATTTTATATATGTTATATCTTGATTTTATTACCTCACTATATAAAGAGAGTGGGAGCTGAATCCAACTCAATTGGTAACGATTCAATGTCAATTTGGGCCAATTCCCATACATGTACAAGTGATGTTACAGCAATACTTGCATTACACTGTAGTTTCAAATTTCAGGAAATAGGTTTGTTAAAGGTCACAATTATATGTAAAGTGATAATTTTGTTGTTTCTGATATGATAGCATAAACATGTGTTAGGTGAAATGACTATCGTGTTGGTTTGGACATTGTATTATCAATGTTTTCAGTGGATATGTCAATGCAGGAAAATAGGTGAAATTCATCTAACATGTTATTGACAATCAGTGCACATGAACAAGACTACATAACATTACTAGCTTATATTACTGTATATAGATTCTACTAAACTGGAATAAGTGATCAATTTTTAAAGAAACCAACTTTGTTTGGCAGATTTGAGGTGTGCATTGAAAATGCTGGAATTTTAATCTTTTCATTTGGTTTGCTTAACCTTCGAAGTGTCACATATATTTATATGTGTTTTAGAATCTGATGTCATGTAACAGCCTAACCTGATGTTTAAGGTTAGAAGGGAAAACAGAAGAAAGGTGTTGTGTATGAAATATTTATCCATTCTTAGACAATGCAGAGATGGCAGACTTCACCTTCTTCATGTAGGTCAGAAGCAAACACACTGACGAAAGTGATCGTCTTCAGTTCATTTCTCATGATTACATTGATATTTGTTGTAAAGGTATCTTCAGATTACCTTGTACATTGTCTAACATTTCCAGATGATCTGTTCTTCTCAATCACGCATCATGCTGAAAACTTGTACTCAATCTGACAAGAGTAATTAATGCTAATTAATCAGGTTATAACAGATTCTTTATTGACACAACAAAAAAAAAACTAATACTAAAGTGTATCACATAAGAAAT